TATCATTGAAGGCAGTCACTGCGCTCATCCATGTCATGGGCGTCCTTCCTGGTGTAATTAGCATGGCGTTCAGTCTCTAAGATTGCCCACTATCGCGGCTTTTCTATAAGTAAAGAATGTGCTGCGGCCCTCGTAAGTGGCATTTCTGATGGCACCCCAGTTGTACCGCCCACAAAAACTCAAAGGCAATTTTCTGTCACGAGTTCAGTTTATCACAGTATTTTTGTTTTTTTTCACTGTTAGATGGTATTAGCACTGGATGACGTGAAGATGCGATTAATAAACAGAGACGGCTGGCTATAGCTTTGCTGGCCTAGAACGAGTAGGTCGAATAAGTCGTATAGAGGCTGCCAAGCCCTTGCTTAGAGAGTTCTGCATATTTTTTTTTGCTTTTTCTTCCCTGAAGAGTCATTTAGTGATCACGGGTTCGTATTTGGACGCCGCTATCTATGCAGTCGCGGGATTTGTTTTCAAAGTACCTTTAATTAATATCAGTGCGAATTCTGTTTTGAAAGCTAAGGTGGTAAGCATTGGTGAGAGATACGAAATATCCTTAGAAATCTCAGGAACTGCCTTCGGCAAATTAGTAGTTAGCGACATAAAAGCCCTGAGCACTGTCGTCGGTGCTGGACGGGATAGACCTCTGTTTTTTATCTTTCTCTTTGACCTTAGTCTTTGATCTTATACTAAACTGTTCGAGCAGCTAGAATATTACCACGAAATAGGGGTTAGCGATTTTGTAAACCGGTGAGAAACCGTTTCAACCTTGTGAGGCAGTTTGGCCGAAACGTTCGAAAAACGTGTCGGTTTTGTGTCGGTGGCTGCAGTGGTCCCTTGGATAAAATGACTTATCGGTCCTTTTTACCAGTTTTTTATTCTTTTAAGCCTCGATTTGCCGCTGCTTACACGCCCTCCCTGTTCGTTCGCGCGGAAAAGCCTAAAAAAAAAAAAAAAAAAAAAAAAAAAAAAAAAAAAAAAAAAAAAAAAAAAAAAAAAAAAAAAAAAAAAAAAAAAAAAAATAAACAACAATCTTCCAGTGAGAATAGTTCTGTCTCAGAGCCTCATGCAATGTTTAAAAACAAGAAGAAGCAAAAACTTTTTTTTCAGAGAGTTCAGAAGCTTTTTGGATTTTTTGCGCCTTTTGCTCTTTTTGGAATAGACGTTTTTGGAGCTTGTTCTTGAACATGACATAACCCTCTTTGTTCTTTATCTGGACTTCTGATGCGCATTGCTGCAACCACAATTGCCTATTCCCTTTCTAAGTTTGGTTTTGTGAACGAGTCTTTTTTATCCCAGAATGTTGCAAGCCATCACTCTTGATCACAGTTGTCTCATGTTTTCATGCTGCTATGTGGAATGTTGTTTCCTTCTGATCCTGAGCCTCTCTGCTGCTCTAACCATTGCGCCTCTCCTCGTCGTACTCTTCCAGCAATAAGTTTGTCGTTCTCGCTTCTGAGCCGATAACAGCGTGCCGTGTATTGCCGATCTATTCACGAGCTTCCCTTTCCGCTGGTTACTGTACGGATTTTCATCAGAGCACACGCTGGGTCAGGGCCGGTGTGGTGATATTTTCTACTATGCCTGCACATGGAAAAATTCCATCATATGAAGTACCGCCGCAGCCCGATACTACGAAGTCAGTGTAGGGGTGCTAGCGATATTCTCATTGAACGCTTCAATATGAAAGCGAATAAACCGCCTATTCGTTACTATGATGTGTTTACGACTATGCATTTTCGCTTAGAAGGTAAACACTTTTTTTTATTTTATTCACTCACCGATAGCCCTTGTCCTTGCGAGAGAATGCGAGTTTTTTCGTGAGACTGATTACCATCGAACAATTTACATGCCTGCACTTTTGGCGCGCTGAACTGGATAGAAACTTTATTTTCTGCACTTCTCTTCGGAGCTGCCTGGACACGAGGCACGCGCTGCCGCTGGGAGATTTTTTGTAAAATACGACTCCCTCGAAATTTCCTCTTCTGGTACGACCCCTTTCCTCATCCCTCATCCTTCTTATTATCGTCCAACTTACACCACCTTTCGGAGTTTTCTTTCTAAAAATTTCCCAAACATGAAAATACGAGTCAACATTTCCCTCGACTCTTCTATGTTGCAGTAGTTACTGTTTTCTAAGTCATAGGCACTGAGCGCGCCGCTGTTCCTATAGTAATAAGCGCGGCGAGGCCCTGTAATTGCGAATGAGAGGAGTCTGTGCCAGCCAGCGGCAGAAGAGCCGGCACGAACGATATGTGAGGATCTGAAACGTAAACTAGACCATAGACATCTTTTTAGATAATTTTCTTTGGTGCTTAACAATAGGCCGAAATGATAAGAAGTTAAGTACCATTGATTCAGCACCCATTGTAATGACGGTTGGGTGGAAAAGTTATTAAACAACTAAATCCACTTGAAAACAAACCCCGCGATTGTATATTGTGGACAGTTACGGACCTATAGTCGCTGAGTGACTTTCCGGGGATAGAAAAAGGCCAAAAAAATCGCGGAAAATCCCTAAGTAAGGACTTGACAGCCTCTCTGGACGAGTCCCCGGACCTGCTTACTTCATGCCAAAAAAACGATATCTGTCGCCTTTGGCTAACTAATCATTTCTTCGCGTCATCCAATGCTATACCATTCACCAGTAGAGCAACGAGAATTACGGTGTAAAAAGTGAATTCGTGACAGAAAGTAGCCTTTGAGTTCCCATGAACGGGGCAGTTAGGCAGGCGTCAGAACTGCCACTTATGAGGGTAGCAGCGCCCTTGTTACTTACTGTGAAACTGCAAAAGTGAGACAATTCTTGAGACTGGCCAGACTATATGAGTAGGGAAGGACGCCCACGTAATGGTTGAGCGTGAGGCGTGTCTTTAATAATCCTGTCTTTGCGATATTTAGCCTCTTCCGTCCATGGATTTATGCTTGCTTTGTTCACACAAGAGACGAGTTAAGACTAACGCTCACATTTTTTATGCTGTGTTTTCTATCAACTGGCTTGGGTGAATGCTCATTGCTAGTAGTTTAATTGCTCCGAGGTGAAGTTAAGCGAAGCATGAAACCTTCTAAACAAAGAGGAGTGGGGTACAGCTGTCAGGCGGTGAATTTACGAGAATCTCTCTGTTTCACGGAAAAGTAGGCCGTAGTTATTACACGAGTTATTACACGACAAGTGAAAGAAGATTGAGTGTTCTGTTTACCCACTGTCACCTCGAACCACCTCCTCTCTATCCCAAATCCTTGAAAAAGGTCTCTGGTTTTGGTTGTGGGCATCACTTCATGCAACAGAGTACGACCTAGAAAATCCTTCAGTTCTGCCCTCTCTCATTTACACCACCCCAGACGAAGGCGGAGAGGAGCCAGGGCGAAATCAGCAATTTGTTGTAAAAAATTCCCGGTTTTTTCTACTCCATCTTTGAAATATTCTGCCCTGAGTGCAAAAAGGGGCGATGTTGGATTAAATTACTCCCTAATATACTTGATTTACGCTGTCTTCTAATTTTTTGCCGTCATTTTTTTATGATTTGTGAGCATTCCGAACCACTGGAAGGATTGCGAAAGTGGTTCAAGTGCAACTTTCCCGAAAAGAAACCCTACAAAGTACGATCACTAGGACAAAAATGTTGGGAGCGATTGAGTATTTTCAACCGGAAAGTGTCTTATCGGGTTCCACCTAAAGGTAAACAAAGTCATAAAAACTTCAAACTCGACTTCTTGACATTCTCTACGTCTAACTTGTTCTAAGAGGGGACTCAATTGCCCTTTTCTATTTTCAGCACATCATGACTCAAAACTTTTTTCTCTTCAAAATTTAGGTTGAAATTTCAGAAGCGTATCGTGCGTTGGAGTCATTAGAGGAGTACCATGCTCTTCTTATTCATCCCGGAGACGAAGAACTTCGTACAGCAATCGAGCGTGTCATAATAACGTTCAAGAATAGCCTGTTCCAAGCTCTTCTGGGTAACTTTCTTGCTTGTCAACGTGAATAGCCTGCTTCAATCAATATTAGGCAAATTATCGTCTGTTCAGACCTTCAAGAGTTCTATGAGGAAACGATACTCAACGAGCGCAAAACCGTTCCACAGAAGATTGCGGAAGCGAAGGACATCGCAAGACGTCTGGATATGAATCCTCCATTCGGTGTTACGGGCGCAAGCAGATCTGGAAGCATCTTTACGGCGACGCCATTAGCGCCCCTAGCAACTGCTGAGGTAGCGTTAGCTATAATTAGGGTTGCTCATGTAAGACTGCGTTCATGCTTTGCATTAGCGTGTATCAGCGTTTCGAGCGTACGCCAGCGCCAGCGGTTAGGGAAGTAGGGATATCGATTTAGCGAACGGCAGCGTCTACCAGCACCCCGGAAATTTAGGGTACCAGTCGGATCGGCCGGCTTCGCCGGCCGATCCTCCTTCCGGGTGTGAAGTGGGTCCCTGTGAGAAGTTTTCCATGAGGGGAGAGCCAGTCGGATCGGCTTCGCCGGGCGAATGGTCGAAAAAAATAGTTTTGAGAATTACAGCACTTTACCGTTTCACTTCTCGTATATACCCCCCCCCCCCTCCCCCCCCCCCTAGAAGACAGTCATCAAAATTTTCTATGCTGTACACCGCTTAGGTTACCTTGCTTAGGCTTGCTTAGGCTCCCTGAAAATTGGCTAATCCTATCGTCGCAATCCCAGTTGGAATCCGTCCAGGAAAATCAGTTTTCTGTAGTCTTCGGTTTTTGGGTGGTCAGACAGACGCACACACACACACAACTTCTGGTTTATATATAAGAGAGTATCGATCTAGCGAGCGGTAGCGTCCACCAGTGTACAGCAGCGTTTTTCGGACACTTTTGAACGCTTGGAGTGGACGCTAGCGTTCGCTAGATCGATATCTATACTTTCCAATCGCTGGCGTATGCTCGAGACTGGACACTGGTGGTCGGGTGGACGATGTCGCAAAGTATGAACGCAGTTTAACGGTGCTGTTGTGCACTAAAAAGCGAAAACGGTTATAGAATGGCCTTGGAAGTGTCTCAAACTCGTATTCCTCCTCAAGTCATGTTGTTCATGAAAGAGTTCGTCATATGGTAAGCTTAAGTTCAACATTTCGTTATGCGCTAGAAGATGAAAATTACCAATTTGACAGACGAGTGACGGCGGCTGGCAAACTAGCGAAACAACCACCCGCAGCTTTGATGGGCCAGGAGGTGTTCAGAAACAGACAACGACTGTAAGAATTCGAATCTTGAAGTTATTCACTTTTACCAATTTTTCTTTTCCCTTTTTTTCATTTCATTTCCTGCCATTATGAACTGTTCTACGTTGTTGATCGTATATCCATTAGTCGCGCCTCTCGACTAACAGAACCCTTGAGAGTCGATTCTTTGGCTACCCTTATCGCTCAGTATAAGGAGGTGTTCAGAAACAGACAACAACGCCTTGAGTAGGCGATTGAACTGAATTTGTTTGATAAGGCACAAATGATAGTTCCCTTGTACAACATGTGCTGCATAGCGAATAGAAAACAACCGCAGGCATGGCTCGAAACATAAGAGTGCATTCATAATTTGCCTTAGTTGTTTTGAGCGTTTTGAATGGCTAAGAAAGTAGAGATCAATCTAACTTTGTGGTGTTTAATTGGTAGTTTTGGCTGCTTTACGCTGGCGAGCCTTACGTCGATACTGTTACTTTCCTAGTCGCTCAAAAAGCTGCCGTACGCTACGCTCGAAACGCTCGAGGCGCTGCTGCACGCTTGCAGTTCGAAGGCCGTGGCTTGCGAAAGGTTACGTTCACACTTTGCGTCAGCGTCCACAAATGTCCGTTAGCGTCCACCAGCGTCCGACAGCGACTAGGAAAGTATGGACAGATCTAGCGCTTGCCAGCGTCAGTTGACGTCCACCAGCTTCCGCCAGCGTCCATCAGGTTTGCCAGGCGAGGAAAGTGTGCGATTTAGCAAACGCTAGCGTCTACTAGCGTCTCGAAAGGCTAGGGTAGTCTAGTTTCTAGCGAACGCCAGCTACAGCAGGGTTTTTGCGGGCAGTTTTGCTCGAATTAGAAGTGGCTGCGAAAATGCTACCGCATGCTGAAAACGTTAACGCAAAGTATAAACGCAGCTAAGCCAGCTTACTGATTCAGGTTTATTCTGCTAACTGGGGTGGAGTGTCACAACTGTGTGCGCGGGCAAACGGGTGTGGATGAGCTAGTAGTAATTGTTGGGCCACCACAGAATGGATAAGGAGATACCTAGAGTCCTGGTTTGGATTTCGTTCTATCCAACGAACCCTCCACTTATCTGTGGTCTTTTTGTTGAGATCGCCGTGATTTTAAACCCAATTACGCATTCAGACGGCTCTACGAATACCAAGCGTCTATCATTATGGGAGGACTACCTTAAAAGCGTTCAATTATAGTCTTTCTCTATCCTGAAAGTGGTCCATGGATAGCTTGTGCTTTTCCAATTTCTTTTCTTGTGCTTTTCTGCTATTTAGCAAATGTTCAGGTTAATGGAGTCATTGACAGCATGGGCAGAGCATGGGAAATTGAGGATGTTGTGCTGGAAAAGGGTACAACTGGTTTAGGATTCTCGATAACTGGAGGTTTGAACTTGCAGTCCAATTTTGTGACCCTTTTTGTGATTTTCCTTTCTCTTTCTCTTCTATCAAACTTTGTGTAACTGCTTAAAGTAATCAATTCTTCTAGGAACTGACCAACCGGCTGAAGACGGTGATACCTCTATTTATGTCACTAACATCATAATGGGTGGTGCTGCTGCAGCGGATGGTCGCATGAAGTGAGTCTCGCAAGTCTAACTGCTTATCATTTTCTTTTTTGTTATTGCTATTACTCTTTCTTATTGAACATCTTTCCAAAGGATCTTGTGTTTTGAGGAAATTCGACAAGATTTTGAAAGTGAACAACACTGAATGTGTCAATGTGCCGCATGAAGTCGCAGTTAATGCGTTGAAGACCGCAGGAAATGTTGTACGACTGGTGAGTCACCCCTTCATTGTGTGATCCATCTAGGGTATGTTCCCTTCGGAAGAACGTGGAAAAAAACTGTTCTCCCCTTCTACTGCCTTCTTCACTGCCATGGAATGTGCGAAGGGGAGCATCAGTTCAGGGGTCGCTTTCTGCCTTCTCTCACCCGAACTTTCGGATGTTTTTTTTTTCGAGATAAAAGGAGGTGGGAGGGAGAAAGTTTCACATAGTGGAGCGTATCCTTGCATTACTGGTTGCATAGAACCTTAACTCGTTTAATACGGAATATATTGAGCACTCATTTTGAATTTAGACGCTAAAACGTCGTAAACCCGAAGAAGTGAACATTCCCATCGTGAACACCAACGCTTCCATGGGCTCTACTAGTCATTTAAACAGAAGTGACCTCACATCGTCATTGGGAGCACTCAATGTGTCTCGGGGATTCGATGGGTAATCACATGATTATGTCGGCTTTGTTTGTTCCTATTTCAGTTTGTTTTGTGACCATAACAAACTAGAGCATTACAACAAGTCATTGTTACAGTGCTGCACATTCGCCCAGTATACCTCCAAGTTATCCACCACCTCCTCCACCAGCTCATGCCGGCTCCCAGAGTCATCTTTCTCATGGCTCCCAGAGTCATCTTTCTCACAATTTGCCTCCTGCAGGGTTGAGCTCTCGTGCTAGGTTGGCGCACAGCATCGATCTTTATAAGGTAACCTTATCTTTTTTTCAAACTGCACTTTCTATTCGCACAAGTGTTTTTGCTAGGGCTTTTTATTTATTGTTCCATCATTCTCCCTCAGGGACAACGCGGACTAGGTTTCTCAATCGCTGGTGGATTGGGAAATGAGCACGTTCCAGGAGACACCGATATTTACGTCACAAAAATTATTGACGGAGGAGCTGCGTACCATGATGGACGTCTTGGTGTTGGAGATCGAATTCTGGCTGTAAGATAATTTATCTCACTCGTAACCAGATTGTATATCCTTCAACAGAACAATCAGTATTAGAGGATTTTTCAACTTCAATCTTTGCTCAGGTTGATGACGTCGCATTGGAGAATGTTACACATGAGTATGCCGTCAATGTTCTGAAACAAACAGGAACAAAAGTTACGTTGTTGGTACTCAAAGCAGATCCCAATGTGAACGTCGGTGCAGTTGAAGAGACAGCTAGTCGCCAATACGTTGCATCCACTCCGCAGTATCCGCAGACAACACCTATCAGATGTTAGTTTTCATATGCTGTTAAAGTTTTTCTCGGAGATAGTTGCCAGTAGCGCGCAGTAATGGAGCTCCAACTTCAGCAAGTTCAATGCAAGACTTCAATCGATCGTTTGATTCGCAAAGTGCAATAGCTTACGGTGGTCCGCAAGCGACTACTCCAATTGGAGTAGGGATGGCGCCTCAACAAGTCCCTATCACCATGGATCCCAGACCTGTGCCACTCTATAGAGGAAATCAGGTACGGTTCTCAGTCAATCTTATCAGTTTTTGGTTGTTCCAGAAGTTTTCTTAAAGAGCCATTAACTTTACCTTTCTATTCTTATACGTCAGCAGTTGTAGGCAGTAAAATTTTCTCCTCTAATTAATTCACAATTAGTGTGCAATTATCGATCCTTTGAGCCCCGAAATTTGGGCGCTGTCAATCAAGAACCACATTTTCCGAGCGCTCTTGAGTCATAAAGAGATTCTTTCTAGACAATGTTGGGGCCAGTTCTACGACCCTACTAACTGGTTAGGCTTCCACTGATGGTACTTATCTAACGCTGCTATTAGCTATTTTTCCTTTGGATATCTGCCTTTAGTTCAATTTTGAGGAGAACATCCCCGTGTCCCATAGGTTAAACCCGTGTTCAGCATGACATTCTTGTTTGTCAAATTATAGTTTATCATATCGAGGCAGTATTGATAACTGCAGAGTCCTCCTGTCACATCATCCTCGTTTTCCTCTTGGGGAGCAAGAGTCCGTGTCAGAAAAGGTTTCTCTTTTCAAATCGGGCCACATCAGCCCGAAGGACAGCAAGCTTAAGTCTGCTGTCTGCTTCTAACAATGAGTCACTTTGGAAAGCTGGTGAAGGGGATCAGAGTCTGAAAACCTTATCTGGGGAGGAATTAAGGATAGTCTTGAGAGACGTCTTCCGTGAAAGCAAGCATCTCAATATGATGAGAAAAGGATGAAGTCATGAAGTCTTCGCCGTTGATCAATGGCTTTTTTGGGATGTGGCACGCATTCTGCTGCTATTCAGAGTCGTCGTAGCTTCGTGAATGCGATATGGCTTAAACAGTGACTTGCAGAGGGCAGTTCTGTGTAGTGGATTGTAATGTAGTGTAGTGTAATGTAATGTGTAAAACATGAACTGCCTTTGAATCAGCTTTAGTTTAGTTAGTTACTATATAGTGAGTACCTTCGAGGAAGTACTTCGGTATCCCTTTCGCACGTGCCCTTTGACGGAAGTAAACAAGTTCTTCATCCTGTTTTTGTGCTCGCCAGTAAAGGAAAGATGGAATAATGAGTTGTAACAATGATAATTCAAATAAATGTATCTCGTTGCAACTAAGAACCGTGTAGAAGTCACTGTTGTTATCCTCCCAGGCGGTGCTGATCTTCCAGTCTGGTACCAAGTTACAATCCCCGGACGGTAGAAGGCTTGTTTGTCTCAGTCCAGGATTTGACCCCTGAACCGCGCGTGTCGTAAGCGGTCTCTGTCATATCGATATATTGTACTATATGATATTATAGTTGAATAAGATTCTAATTTTGGATAAATGTTCTTAACCCTATTGCGGTTAGGGAAACATTTTCGTAACAAACAAGAACCCCATTATTACTAGCTCCCACTTCGATTATTTATGTGTGAGAATAGACAGATCCGCTCCCCACTAAGATTTCATGGTTAGAAACATTTCTATATCATTGCTTCAGGGACTCGGCTTTAATATTGTTGGAGGTGAAGATAATGAGCCAATATATATCAGTTACGTCTTACCAGGCGGTGTTGCTGATCTCAGCGGTAACGTCAGGAAGGTGAGCAGATTCATCTGAAATGGGCCTAGTAGCCCTTCCTCAGTTCAGTCCGACTCAGTTCACATTACGGTATTGTTCAGTTGAAGGTATGAGTTCAGGGCGATGTGCTTCTCGAAGTGAACGGTCGCTCTTTGCGTAACGCGACGCATTCTCAAGCTGCAGAGACTCTGAAAAACGCTCAAAATCCTGTTACTCTCACGTTACAATACAGGCCTCACGGTTCGTCATTTCCTTCACACGGTCTTCTTTATGCCATTTATCATCTCAATAAGATTGAGTGGATCTCTTGAATTATTGGCTTTCCTCGTGCTGTTCGCAGTGTTCATGTCGAAACGCTCGACTATAGGGCGATTTATTTAGTTTTCCCGCGTAACTGATAGTAATTTATCACTTGAGGATGAATACTCTTCTTAGCTTGCTCTTGTGTGCGCTCATTTGTTTTGTTTTTTGTTAGGGAGCCTTAGAAATGTTACTGAGTACGTGCTTTTTCCTTGTTGTAAAAAAACTGCCCGTGAGAGAATGCATATTGGAGAATATTTCAGACTATCAACAATTTGAAGCGAAGATTGAGCGATTACGCAACGATATGATTCAAGCCAATTCTACGGGCGGCACGCTCCCTCGTAAAGACCTATTCGTCAAGTGAGTCATTCCCTACATTGTATTGTAGTAAGCATCTATAGTACATTGCCGGAAGTGAGCTTATGTGGGCAATGGGGCTCTTAATGATCGCTCTTGTTACCTTTTTTTTCTCGAGCATAAGCTACCCTTCCGCTTTCTATAAACGTGTCGCAAGGGAAAATTTGAGTTTTCCCTCCCTCTTGCTCGGTTTTCTCGGCCAAGCTCCAAGACCAGGTATGACCTCAAGTTGCTGTCGTAGTTGCTGAAAGAACGAAGACCACCTCATCAAGCGTTCTTGCCGCAGCGATTGAGTGCGATTTATGCTGTAGAAGATAGATTAATGGCATTGAAGGTGCAGATGCAGGAGGCAACAGATGAGGGATATCCATGAATTGTGGTGTTCTAATCGTTGAGTTTGTATTTAAAATCAACTGTTGTGGGTCGTATTTAGGGCTTTGTTCGACTACGACCACACCCGTGAAGTCGGCGTTCCGCATCGGTCCATTTCATTCCAATATGGTGACATTCTGCATGTGATGAACACATCAGATGATGATTGGTGGACGGCGAAGAAGGTAAAAGATAAATATGTTTTAAAGACTTTTAGCCTCTCCTAGTGGTTGAATCTTTTTTGTTTTCTTTTGTTTTTGTGATCGTAAACCTGCCATCTTCACCACAAAGCCATAGCCTTGAGTTCTGAGCAAAAGCAGGAGCCCGCTGGTCTATAAAGAGTAAAATACATTTTTATAATTTTCATTCACCACCACCAACGTCGACGCTGGCCCTTAGTCGCTTGAGGAACATATACGCAAGTAAGCGTCCCGAGCTCATTCCAATCTTTTTTCGAGAAGATCATCCGATTCTTTCAGATTATAGGTTTCATTTGCAGGCCTTGGACTCCAGTACTGAATAGGTTCAGTAGAGTAAACAGGGAGGACATCACTGAAATTGAAGGAGGGCAGAAAGTTAGCTTTGGACCGAATCTGAATTTTTCTAGTCTTATTAGCATGAATCCGATCTTGTTGTAACCACTGACCACTGACAAAAATGTTATCCATGCAAGCGAATCCGTCCTTCCCAAAAGCGCACTCATTTATCTGCTACAAAGTGAATGCTTTGAAGGGCTGCGTGAGGGCTGCGAACATTGAACTGAACGAGGACAGATTATGAACTTCTGATTCAATTCTATGAGGGGGCTTCCTAGCTCGTTTAGGCCCAAGCCTCCTAGTGGTTCGATAGACGGCAGCTGCTCACTCGAAGACGATTCTGAATCTTGCGTGCCGGAACACCTCTTTTGTAAAACTCCATACTGAGTTCGCGATGAGATGACAACCCCCGCACTTTTGCTCTGCTTCAGCACTGTACTGGTAAAGGCGCACAATTCGAAAAATATTGCGAAAAAAAGCAGCAGAAACTGTATAGTATCGGAAAGTCAAAGGTGTTCTAAAATTATTCCGGTGCCTGTAATTTGCCCCCACCCTCACTCAGTCCTCACAAGTTATTTTGTGTACTGGATAGAATATTCATCATCTAATCAAATATGACCCGAAGGATGGTTACCAGCTCTCGAATGAATAATTCAGATTATGGAAAATGGTGAAGAGACTCAGGAAGGAGTGATTCCGTCAAAGAAACGCATTGAAAAGAGGGAGAGAGCACGAAGAAAGCAGGTAAGGTGTTGTATTCTTGTGGTTTAACAGAACCGACGTTAATCTTCCATCAGTCAGGTTTTCTCTATGCTTATGCGTTCCAGGTCAACTTCAATGCTGGTTCCATGTCACTCGGTCGCAGTTCAGGTCAAATAGGAGGTATGGAGGGAAGACGGGGGAGCAAGAGCCAGCTTTCGTTCTCAAGAAAGTTCCCGTTTGTGAAGAGTACAGATCGCTTGAACGAGTTCACTGACCAAGAACGTGAGTTCAGCATTCTTGTTTGCAGTTGCTACAAACGCTTTTCTGGCAAAAATTACTGTCTAACGATAAACTGGGGGTTCCACCTTGATAGATGCTCTCTAGCCCGTAAATGACATGAATGAGGTAATAAAAGGGTTATTTCCTCCGAGTAGACCGCGTTCAGACTGCGCGATCGGATCGCTCCAGCGATTATATCGCTTGATCAATCGCGAAGTATGAACACGGTCTAATTTAAGGAAATGACCATTTTATTACCCTGTTCATGTCCCTTGTCCCCGATTTACTTTTGGGGTACATTAAGGGGGACTCGTTATCAAGTAATGTATATGCGTCTATACTTTAATTCGTTCTTGCGTTTTCTATTTTATATTAGGTGCGACTGGTACGACGGTCACTTATACATCGTACACTAGCGAAAGTGATTGTAGTAAGTAGAGTGTTCCATCAAAAATAGATTTTATTCACTTTTGGTGTGCCTAAACATGCGTGCTTACTAATCACAAAATTTGTGTGCGTTAAAGCGAGATTTCTTATTTCGAACCTGTTTTTCAGTAGGTGTGAGCGAAGATCCGATATTCTCATACCAGCCCGTGGAACAGCAATCTTGTAAGTTTAGTTTATCTTCATATGTTTATACTCTTTTTTAACCTTTAGATTGAGTAAGTTTTACAGTGAACTACGTTCGACCTGTTATCATTCTGGGAGCACTGAAGGATAGGATCAATGACGAGCTGGTTACGAGAAATCCGGATCGATTCAGCAGCTGCGTTCCCCGTAAGTTGTTTGAGTCGATAAATCACTTTTTGTTGTGCTCACATGAGGAAAACGAACTGGGGAAAACCGGCCGTTACTTTGACATGACAGCTGACTGCCCAGTTGAAGTGAAATTAGCCAGAGCGGCAACCAAGTAGTACCAATTAAAGTAGCTGTTGTAGTTGGGATGTTAAGCAATGTAGATTGTCTTCCGTACGACACGGTTTCCAACCCCTCTCACCATCAGAAGCTTTGAGACTATTGAAGAAAGGTGGACTGGGAAGTGACTCGAGTGATCAGTCTTCTTTTATCTTTTTCTTCTCCCTCCATATAGTCTGGTCTCTATTAATAGTTGTTGGTCTTGGAGGTATGGCAGTTTTTCCCATTTTTGCCGTTTTCGCGCCGATGTTTCGTGGCATACTTTGCATATCATAACTCTTGCTTAGTAGGGTTCAGATGTTGGTTAAGTTGGTAACCGTCAGCGTTCACTTTCAGTCCGGGGTCCACAAAGAAAATGTCGGTCTCCCATCCAGGAACTTCCGGTCCATACCATCAACCCGCGCCTTGGCGACTGCGGTGAAGATGATATCCTGGACCAAAGCTACCTTGTCGGAGCTGCTCGATGTTGGAGGTCTCCCAGTTCAAGAGTGCCGGTCTCTAGGAGCTGTCCTTGAATGACTCCATACAAGAAGTTTTGCAGCTGTTTGAGTGACGTGAATTCCATACCCTTCTCTAGAGAGGCTGCGACTGGAGATGGCTTGATATTTTGGTGTACATGAAGGTGGTGGGGGAGGGCCTGATCCTGCTTATCGAGGAACATCTTGGGTATTTTCCGCCCAGGCACTCGTATCCACGTCTTCTATCTGAGCCGCGTGAACTTTACCGATATATGACTCGGCCAAAATGTTTTTTTGGGCCCCCCTCTATGGAACACCCTTCCATCCAATCTTGTACTGGAACGTGATGAAAAAAGGTCAAGTTTGGACAGCTTTGTTGGTATCATAACGATATCAGCTCTTTTCTCCCTCATCGTTTCGCTCTGAGCATTTGAAATGGAAAAAGCTAGTAGCAGGAAAGATAGGAATAAACGTGCCACCGAGAGGCCTCAGAAAAAAATGTTGGGCTGGGCAGAGCATTAGGGTGTGGGCGGAGCGTTATCGGTGTCATAGGCGCCTAGCGTCCTTATAGCACATTTTTGAGTCGCGAAAGTGGAACATCCTCTGGATTTGCGGACCGAATTCGTCCGAAAAAGGCGTCTGCATATCAGTTTTCGAGAAATCTGCCATTAGGACTACATCACTTATATTTTACGATGATTTTTGTTTCCAGACACTTCGAGACCTCCAAGAGAACACGAGGTTGACGGTAGAGACTACCATTTCGTAAGCAAGGCTCAAATGGAACACGATGTGAAGAACAACCTGTTCATTGAGGCTGGCCAGTTCCAAAATAACCTCTATGGAACTAGCATTGACAGCGTGCGAATGGTCGCCCAGCAGGTTTGATACTCGATCTTGTTAGCGTTTCAGTGAGCAGGTGAATATGCTTTCATTCCATTGTAGGGTCGTCACTGTATTCTGGATGTGAGCGGGAACGCTATACGTCGTCTTCAATCAGTTGCGAATATTTACCCAATTGCAATCTTTATTAAGCCATCCAGTCATCATCACATCATGTATGTATTCTTCCCGCTTCGTTTTAAATCTTTTTATGCTAAATGATGGTGGTCTTTGTCATTGAAGGCAGTTGGATCACTCAATGAATGAGGAAGAAGCAATGCAACAATATCAACGATGTCAACGACTGGAGCAGACATTCGGAGATTTGTTCACACGTAAGTGATCCTTCAACGAGTTTACCTCTTTCTGATTAGGTACTAGGCAGTACTTCATCAGGTAGTTATACTAAGGCTATCGATTTTGTCAAGATTTATCCTGGTTCTGCACTCTGGCGTTCCATTTTTGCTCGAAAACTCAAAGACAGTCTTCGCGCTGGACTGATTCCTAGGCGTCAATCCCCCTGTACAAGTAGTCTTTCCCTCGTTTTCTGGGATTTTCTCACTTTTGCGGCTTCACAATAAGTAACGAAGGCGCTGCTACTCTCATAAGTGGCAGTTCTGACGCCTTCCTAGTTGCCCCGCCCACCAAAACTCAAAGGCTATTTTCTGTCACAGTTCAGTTTTTGCAGTGCGGTTTCCGTTCTTCCCCGCTGTTAGATGGTGTTAGCATTG